CGACTTTGCAGCTGGAGCTAATAGCAAAATTTTTGCAAAACTAAGGACTAATTAAAACATTCATTTTCAAATTTTATTAAGTTTAGAATTAAAATAAAATTTAACGACACTATAGAGCAAAAATTACTTTTTGCAGACAGTGATATCTGATTTGCCAAAATATTACCTACAATTAGGATTTGTCACCTTTATAGCGTTTTTTTTAAAGAAATGGTTGTTTTAGAAAAGAATTAGTGTCCGTTGAAAAGCAACAACTTTCACTTTATTTTTTCTAATTTCTCAAAAAAATTTTTTTAGTATCACGTAAAGACATAATTTACATAATAGCTTCTATAAAATTAGATTTCCACCTCATCATAGCTTTAAAGCACTAACTACAGATCAGTTCTCACAGTTGTCGTAAACCTCTTTCATGGAATTAATCAACTTTTAAATACCGATCAAACCTTTGTTAAAGATTTTTTTTTTAAAGTTATAATTTCTTTGAATGTTAAAGTTTATTTCGTGTCTCTTTTAAAAGTTTCAGTTCAAATGAAACTTTTTTTGTCCATTAATTAACAAAATTTCAGAGAACAAACAAACGAAAATCTGGTATACTTGAGTAGTCGGCAAGCTGTTGAGGATGCAGCGTCCTTAATTACTTCTTTGAATCGCGAGGTTTATTCCGGAACTACAAAATGGGTCGCATTTGGAGCCTCGTATGGAGGTGGAATTTCTTCCTTATTTATTAGCAACCAAAATACTACAAAACAGCAGTGAAGAAGGGAGGAGACAAGATTTGTTCCGTCTACTAAATTTCGCTCTACAAATTTTTAACTGCTTTCTTTACGTGTTTTACAGGAACACTGGCGTTGTGGCTGTATCAGAAGCACCCTGAACTTGTTTCTGGCGCAATTTTTAGCTCATCTTTTAGTAGCGTGAAAGCCGATTTTCACGGTACGTTTGCATGGCAATTAAGCTTTTCAAAGGCAACAATCGTATCCAACAAAGACATCAGATAATTTTTCAGCCTATCTATATGACCTCGGAATTTGCCTTTTCGTCGATGCATATCGTCATGACCATGGTGACAACTGCACAACAGTGCTAATTGACAGTTTTAAAACTATGTCGAATTTAATGTACACTACTGAAGGACGTAAAACCTTGAGCGATTTATTCGGGTAAGGCCAAGTTTGTAAATCCGTAAATGCTGCTTCAGTTCTTCTGCAAACATTTTGCTAAGTTCTCCTACTCTTATTTACATTTTGTTTCAGTACTTCTCCACGTTTAGATCGTGAAAATGTTCCGTTAAAATACAGTGAAATACAATTATTTTTCGCTACAATCCTAGCCAGTTTTCAAGCAGCGGTGCAGTACAAGGACGTTAATGTGGTAAGTTTCATGAAAACTAAGTAAAATAGTTTTTGTAAAAAATATATTATACTCAAAAAAGAATTAATTCACTGAATTTTTAAAACTGCCGCAAGAATTTGCTGATTTCAGGAACCATACTCAAGTAAAATGATGAAACCGTTGGACGTTTGTAAATTAATCACGACTGCTGGCGAAGATTCCGTTAAAACTATCGCGCAGTTTCATAAAAGTATTACGCAACTTTATACTGGAAAAGGCTATAGTGAGCTTAATGTCGATTACAGTGGATTTGTTGGGTATTTAAACGGTACTACCTATAACGACTTAGAAGCTGGTACGTTTTCCTTTATGTTTTATTTCACAGAAGATTCTATGGTTCAGTGATCACGTTGATTACTAGATTGTATCTTGGCACTGCGCCCTAGTTTCAAGTTTTAAGCAAGCCGTAGTTGTACAGCAGGTTGCTTCTCGTTATATTCTTATTCACTTGTATTATCGCTGCGGAAAGGGAAGCTCAGTGAAGAAGTTACAGGCAGAAAATTGCTTTTTTTTCTTTTTTCAAAAACTGTGCAGGCAAGGAGAGCAGGAAATCTCAAAAACTATAGAAACTTAGTAACCCTGGGAAATCATGGAAGTCGTAGAGAATTAGTTCTGAGATTTTTTGACGACATCTTTCTGCTGTGAAAAAGAAGTCATTCGTTAGAAAAAGTTCTTTTTAAAGAAACTAACTATAGGGAAGATAAGAGTCAAGCGTTTTCTAGTACAAAAATTTAGATGTCAAAGAGAGAATCTGGTAAGTTAGTAATTATTTTTTTTAAGTAGTTCATGCTCAGTAAAAAGTTTTCGTTGATTATGTTTCATGCTCTTGAATGCATTGTCAGTTTTTATGACTTAGATAGGCTTCCTCCTCCAAAAGTTACAAAATACTGTGAATGTTTGCAAACGAACCAAATTATAGTAAACAGAAGAGGTTTTTTACTATACTGAAATGCAGAAAAGGCGTGAAGAAGTGTTGGTAAAATCATGACTTTTTTAGAGTGCGAGAATTACACAGGAAATTAGAGCTGCTAGTATCTGTCTGATAATTTTATAGTACATTAATCAAGATGCGTTCAATGACTTTTTATTCATCCAAGCATTTTAGTTAAGTAAGAGGTTCTGGATGAGACAAATTATTCCAGATAACTTTCTGTTTTACTCTTCTTCTGAATATTCTTCTGCATAATGAATTCTTCTAGTTATTAGAAGCAAGCGTTTTATGTCTGTATGGGTCAGGTTGACAGGGAGGTGAAACAGCCTCTCAAATTAAGAAATTTGTTTGTCAATTAATCATAGGGAATTGCAAGAATTAGATGAAGTCTTTGTTGATTTTACTTGTACAGCTTTCCCCACTTCTCCAGTCATTCGGATTAAATTATTCTTTCTCTACTGGTTTGCATAAAATGGCTTCTTTCCTCTTTCTTTTTTTCACCATTTCTTGCGATACCATTCTAAAAGGAATTTTTGGTATTGGTTATAAACAAGTTCAGCTTCTCTTCTACAACTCTATGAAACCATTGCAACTTTCTCAAATTACGAAGATGTTTGATCCCTGGTCATGTAGTTTTGTGTAACTCATTTTAAACATAAATAGTAGTCACAAAAAACATTTTTGCAGAGATTTATTTCATCGATTTTACAGCCGCAATAGGCATTTTCTGGTAAACTCTGTGTACTCTTAAAACACAATCAGCGTGATTGCCTTACAGACTTTTTGAACTAGGAATAAGAACCAATAAGAACCAAACCATCATGTGGTTTTAATGAAGAGCTTTAACTGATGACAAAACGGAAAAAAGACCAATATTCTATGTCTGTCTTCTTGAGGAAAGTCGCATTAGATATATAGCTTGCTTGCAGTCCACATTAAGATTAAAAAAAACTATTTTTGCTGACTTTAAAGATTTCTGAAAAGGAAACGAGGCGCTGAAGCCATTGAGGGTAGAATTTAAGTAAAAAAAGAAGGTCAAAAGTCAAACTGTTGAAGTTAATAAAAAATTAATCTGGGAACACTAGAAAATTAATAAGAAGTCTTTTTATACAAAGTGAACTTACTTGAAAATTATTAAGTTCGGAAAAGAAAATAGCTGTAAAACTTTTAGCTGCCGCTCGTAGCTGGCTGTGGCAGCAATGTTCTGAGTTCGGTCTATTTACGACAACAGACGATGGTGATACACCGTTTGTCAGTGTTCTCCCAAGCAAGTTAGAATTCATTTTCTTTTATCGATTACAAATTAATATTATTAAATGACGTCACCACTTTTTAAAAGATAGAAAATTGCTATGAGAAAATACGCGTCAAAGTGAGTCTACACCGTTCCTTGACTCAAAAGTGATTTCATCTTTCCCATTTGAAATTTGTATTTTGGACGTAAATTTTAACAAATTCAATAGGTGTTGACAAAATTGTTTACATTTTCTTTGGAAATCTAATGTAAAAACATTTCAAGCTTAATTCAGCTGTTATATCTGAGTATTTTGAAAAATCTTTTAGCTTTTACATCAATTTGTGCATTGACGTTTTCGGATCTAAGTTCGACGTCCTTGGCATAAAAAAAACTGTTAATGAAACAAATCAATATTACGGAGATATTTCTAGCCAGAAAGTAAGATTTTTAATAGTAAATGGAGTGACACTGTTAGGTGTATTTTGGTATATCACATAAGTATGACAAACTACTAAATTACATATAATATTTAATAAAGTGAAGAAATGTTTATAGAAATAGTTTCACTATGAATAATTAGAAAAGTTTTGCGCTGTCGACACTGTTAAAAACGTTCTACTCGTCTGTGGAGTAATAACTTTTTTCAGACAGCACAAATATATGGTTATGGTGGAACGACGTACGATCTCTGGGAAAGTTGTGAACCTCTTACTACTTTAAAAATGCACTTATGCGCAGGTAGGAAAAATAACTTCTTTGTTTTATAATTATTTTGTTAAGCTTAAGCTTCAGAGCATTTTTTCCTAATTTTGGTATTTAAAACATTGCTTGAACGAGCAGAGGAAGAAAAAGTTAGGCGACACTTGTAAAAGCGCTTTTTTTAAAACTAATTATAAAACTTGAAAAACATTATTCGGTGTTAGAAGAAGAAAAACGTTTTTGAGAAACGGGACATGTCGCCGATCTTTATCCTTCATGGGAAAACGAAACTGCTTGTTTGGATGAGGTGAGGGGCAGAATCGATCAAAGTATTACCGCAATGGTTCAGGGGAAGCCAGTTCCGACTCCTTTCTATGTCGCTCGTGATGCTTCTACAATACGCAAACCAAAAACGCTTAAGCATGCAATTCACAAACGTTCTCAGTCTTTAACTAAGGTAAGTTTCTGTTTTTAACGAGAAACAGTAGAACTGACGTCAGTTTGAAAAATTTGAATGTACTGTAGGTTTAATAAAAATACGCTCTCAATTGTTTTATATAAAGACGTAAAATTTTTTGCTCTGTAGGAGTCTATATCAAATACGGACCAGAGACAAACTAGTGCACCTTTCTTCCTCATGGGACGACCAACAAGAACTGGCTTTAATTCTCCGCCAAAGGTTACAATAATTGGTTTTCTTACTTTTTGTTTTTAATTATGCTTTAATTCTACTTTTTACGCACTAAGTTGATAATTTGGATTATATTTGATACACGTAGATGATATTGCACATGGAGAACAGATGTTGCAACCGCTTCTTTCTTCTGTGAAACCTTTAAAAGAACGAATCGTATTTAAAATTCAGATTGTTCAACAAAAAGCTGATTCACCAGATATCATTCGCGGAAACTTCAGTCAGAAACAAACTCATTTCAACCTTAATAATGAGGAGTACTTCAATCAAGTTAGCATTAAACAGCGTATACTTTACGTACTTTTCTTTAATGAAATGCATTACTGATTAAAGGTTAAGTTCAGGTACATTATTCTTACTAACTTCTTATTTTTAAACAGTTCACTGATTACCGTCCACTATCTTCATCATTGTTATAGAGTTACTGGTATAATCAAAAGTACTATAAACCTGGTGGTCTAATATTTCTTTTTATTGCTGGTGAGTCTCCTGCAAGCGAAAGGTGGCTTACCGACGAGGTTCAAATTATGAGATCGGCGAGAAAGTTCAACGCTTCACTTTATATGCTTGAACATCGCTACTACGGCTCAAGTTGGCCAACAGAGTGAGTTTTTTTTTT